GTTTGATGACTGAGGCGATTGATTTGTGGGCGTTTTTTTTACACTTCTGGCCAGACGGTGGCGGCTGAAGCAGGAGGTTGATTAAAGGGCGCGACGGGGTCGCCGCTGACAAGAGGAGGGGGTCTAGGTAAAACTTGGATTGTTCATATACCTCCTTATTTTAGCGCCGCAGACACTTCCACCGGCCAGTAAGGCCTTTGGCTCATGCCAGTAGCGTCCTAGTCGTTCTCTACGTCAGCAATGCATTTCCTGGCCTAGTATTATGACTTCTTTGGTCTTCAGGATAGTCTATAGGTGCTACAGGCACAAAAATAGAGGTAAGGCAACAGCCATGGCCGACGCTGAATATAGATTTCAAATTGTGTAGAGTTCGGGTAATTTGGTCCGGCAGAACTGTTAAATGAGTCCTAGATAAGTTAAAATCACCAGCAAACTACGAATTCATTCATCTTGAAACTCGTTTACCTGGGCAACTGCTCACATCAAAGAGACCTGAAACCGACCCAACCGAGGAGCGCAACTCCGCATGAGGTAGTGGTGTGGAGATTTAATATCAAAGCAGTTATCGAAATTGGCATCTGGCACTTGCTCCAGAGGGTTGGCCTGGCACAGCTCAAAGATAAAAATTGAGGTTGTAGAATTACTGCCCTAAATGCGTTAAATATTCAACCACTTTTTCTACGTCCCCTATTAAATATACTCAAACGAACAAGTCACTTTACTAAAATGCCGTTGATTGGCTCAGAGACGACTAATATTCTGAGATGATTTCACTTAGCAACACCGTTTTGCTTCTTCCTGCAATTGGTGAATTACAGCAAGACCACAAATAAGGTTCAGACGGTTTTCGTGTTTTATCGTGACAGTTGTTTATTTGTTCATTCCTTCAGCAGAGATCGCATTCTCCTCATTCAAGAAGTCTTCTGCTGTAGGTCATTCCTCACTGCTACGATATAACGGATTACCGTACACCGAGGAACAGACTCATATCAAGTGAACGATCGGCATTAGATGCATGGAGAGGCATCAAATAGATATCAGTGGGTGCCTCCCTAACATCAAAGAATCGGTAATTTTTCACGCACTTTATGGATGGTTCGGGCTTCAGGATTGAAGGCATTTTGGGTAGTGTAAACAACACACGAGTGTCTCGCATACCTTGCATAACTTGACATGTTGCATAAACAAATGGCAGACGATTGCGACATGAAATCGGTGAACATGATCATATCTTACACCATCAAATCCCACACCTCAAAGGCGGATCCTGTGACAGCGAGACAAAATCCTTGCTATTTTTGGTCGTTTAATACACAGGATTTTGCGCGATTACAGCATGAAAGTGGACCATTCATCAATGACCAACTCGAGCATTCAGGATCTCACTCAGAATACAGGTACAAAAACATGGTCACAGAGGTAAGGAAGTTAAATTAAATCAGTAAAGCGTTCAATACATAGTCATCTCTGACCTTAAATTGCAAATATGGACCAAGATATGCCTCAAATAAAAAGAACTGGACGTTTCCAAATGTCATCTCGTCATTGGCAAACTCGAGTTGGATGTAACGAACTTCTGAAGGACGAACTTAGTGAGAGATTGCGGATATGACAGCTTCCCGAACAGACGACAAGCACAGGAACCAACATTCCTGAATTAACTTTATCGGATAGTCGAAAATTAGCTCTAAAGAAGGTAACCTCAAGCTTGAAATTAAGAAAATTTCCTCGGCCTATAAACAGAGCCTCATGCCAATAGTTGCAATTCACCATCCAGAAGAGATAAAAGAATGGGCTGCAATCACAGCAAATATGAGGAAGTGCATTTCTCATTAATAATTATAAGATGAAAGGTATTTTCAACGAAGTTATTTAGAAAAAGAACTTGAAAATTTGTTTCTTACCAGTAGAAGTAAGCATAAAACCGAATTTCGTAAATAGCAAACCACTCTATCTTTTACTGCAACCGTTTCCCAGCTTTTGCCCCTGAGGCGAGCAAACAGAAAACAAGGTAGGTAACAAGGTAGAAAAATACTGTAAAGTAGGGTGCTATCAAACAAGTAGGTGGACATCTCGGAGGCCAATGCGTTTAGTTTTTACACACACTGTGTCAACCTTAGCCTTGATCCGATCACCCAGTCGGAGACTCAGTTTCTGCAGGATGCTGCTCTCGCCACCACCGCAGGTGCCCCCAACGCTAACGGCATTTGATCTTCTAATATTGCGGGTGGAGGAGGAGGAGGACGGAGGGAAGTGTTGGAGGGGCACGAGAGCTGTCTCCTCCACCCCGATATCCACGAAGGCACCGAAAGTGGTTACATTATCTACACGACCTGTCACCTCCAAACCCGGTTGCAGGTTGGCTATGGATATCACAGATGAACGAAACATTGGGGCAAAACGGTCTGTGTAAAGGAAAAAGAAACAGACGATAAAAGTGCTATGTCCATCTCAAGAGAGCTATGTGGTTCGCGACTGCATTTGCTGACCGTCCGGCATGTGGGATACGTGTTATCCTAAATACATTTAAATGTTGAATGTTAATTTCACAAATAAAATCTCATGCATTGTACCGGAAGTATAATTAAAACACACTTCACTTGAATTTAGCGATTAAACGACCGTTTAGGGGTTAGAAAGTGCTCCGAGCATTTTTACTCTTTTTGTACTACTCAAAAATGAAATTATTGTTCTACTCAAACTAAGGCGCTCCTAAAAGTCGCCTCGCGCTTTAGAATAAATGGGTTTTCCCGCTAATAGAACGTAGTTGGCATTCAAAAGGCTATCGCAATTCCAGGGAGAAAATCAACCAGTTCATAGATGGGATTAGTGCAGAACAAAACCAAGCAAATGCGTGTTTAGTGAAATTGATATCGCTTGGATACTCTACCATTTTATAAAAAAGTGAATGTGAATTTTTAAGGATAGTATAAAGATAAAACACTGAAATGTGAAAAAAGTTGTACAGCAGTCAAATATTCCCGAACAGAAGAACAGACCGTTAAAATCAAATGCAAACAATTTTATGCTATAATATACCTATTCTATAAAACGATGCATCTAGGTGAAAAGCTCACCGCTTTCAAGCCAACTCAAATGAACAAAGGAGCTACCTTTAAATGCTGCGAGAAGTCAATGAAGCACGATAAATCAAACACACAAAAAAATGAGGAATTTGGTCAACCTTCTCGTTCATCGAAGTCCAGAGGACGACAGAGAGCGTCGAGAATATCACGCACTGTCTCCAAGCCGAACTCCTCTGTGGTGAATCGAGCCAACACGGCATCGCCTGAAATGGAAGAGGTCGATTCTGGGTGAAAAAACTACTAGAAGGGTGTGGAACAATGCAGATTTCCTCCACAACTCACGATTGGACGAAGCAAAGAGCACTTTTGCTCTGTTGCGAAGAGCCATGCACCCCACGTCACTGATCTCGTACTTGAGATGCTCGACGAGGCTGCAAGGAATAAATGAGACGATAAACAGCGTAACTGAGAGGTGCGAATCAGTCAAATCGTAAGCAGTAAAAACAATTTCACCTCGTATGAGCAATTCATGCATCAAAAATAGTAATCGAAATTGACAGCACATATGGGAATTGGTTTACCAATGCTGAATATGAACACAAATATATTTTTTTCTAAGGTGATTAAATTGCTTAAAAAATACAAGAGGTGCAAATTATTTTTAGAACGCCATTTAATCGCAGGTAGTTGAAATGGTCCTAAGTCTAACACCTTATTCTTCCACGGATAATTTCCGATTCGTTAAGCATTAAACCACCTAATTACCAACATTCGACAGAAAAAACGGTTAATGTACACCCGAATAGTTTCATGCTTTTGTAGAAATTTGGTGTTTAATAAGCCCAGCTTTAAGAATAAAAACTACTTCGTTTTCCATGGAGCAGCTAATTAAAGAGATTACTTTGGATGAGTTACATGTAGCCTAGTAGCGTAACATTAACAGAATTTGTCACATTTGAAGCGAGATTCATCAAACGTCCTAACTTTGGTGCTCCGACTGGTTTTAACCAATTTACTTAAATTTACTTAAGTAGGCATTGTATTGCAGGTAGTGTAAAGTGCGTCCATCTACCCATTTCTGAAATGCCTAAGTCCATAGGAAATGCAAATAAAGAAGAGGGTTTACGCGATGGCCACGTGGTATGAGGCAGGATGAATTGCAGTCTGGTCAAGGGGATTAAAGGAGAAATCGTCGGGATCTGGTTGGAGGGGTTGGATTCGTGGCACCTTGCTGATGGGAGAGGTGTCCATAGTGACGAGACGACTGCGCTTCTTACTGACCGAAATAACCTCCATCTCCACATCGTCGGTACCTTGATCAGCTCCAGTACCTTTTTCTTCGTCATCGGTGCAGAGAGAAATGAACTCGACGTCCCTGAAAAGCAGAAGGATGAGCTAAAAAAATCAGAACGGATTAGTCCAAGAAACTACCGAATGGTGGCATTTCAGAGCGCTTTTCCGAGAAAGTCCGAGGTACAGATGAAGTGGCTAATAAAGACTACTTTGGAAAGGAAGAATTTGAATTGAGCTTTAACTTGACCAGAACCATCGAACTACGAACAATTTCATCAGCATTCAAAAGTTGAAGAGATGGAAGGTCATTCGAGAACACCCATTAAAAACGATAAGTTGAGTTTCATTTATCCTCTTAACCCAACGTAATGTCTCCGTGACCCTTTAAAATGAAGAAAATAGTTAAACTTTAATTTCGAAAAAAAAAACTTTTTGGGGCCACCTGCATCAGCATCCGTTTCAATTTGCAAAAAACGTTTGATTCAGCGATCATGACTGGCAGCATTGCAATGTCACAATATTCCAGTGAATTTCAGGCGACTGGTAAAACCACGAGCTAACACTATCCATTACAGAAAAACTCAGTTTTAATTAAACATTAATGCATAATTCTTAAATCCTAGAGTATAATTGCACATTTAGAGACAATATGAGCGTTTGGGGCGTAAAGTTCAGCAAGCCTCACCCCGGGATTGGCGTTTTGAGTCGGCTGAATGTAGCGAAAAAAGACCACAAGCACTTCTGAGGAGGTACTACGGGAACTATCAAAAAGCAAGCTTCAGAGACTGGGAGATTAATTTACGATTAAAAAAATAGACAAATAAGGACACAGAGTATCGTTTAGGTTTCGTGACTCGAATTGATCATAGGAGCAGAATATCTTGGCTCAGGAGAAGGGAAAACTCATTTACCACTCCATGACAGTGAGACTCAAATCAAAAACTACATATTTAAGAAATAACCTGGAAGAGTCCATTTTGGCAACAGAGTACTCCGGTTTGACCCTTAGGAAACCGGCACACTGTGCAAAGGTGCTAGGTCCAATGCCCCGCACCTTGCGCAACTCATTACGGCACCGGAATCGGCCATGACGCATGCGATAGTTGATAATCTCCTGCGCCTTAACGCGCGACAGACCCGCCACACGCGCCAGGACATGGAGCTGAGCAGTGTTGACGTCGACGCCGACGAAGGAGATGCACTCCTCCATCGCTCCCTCCACAACTGCCTGAAGTCGACGTGGGGGAAGGTCGTGCTGGTACATCCCTACGCCCAGGTGTTGCGGCGCTACCTTCACCATCTCTGCCAAGGGATCCTGCAACCGTCGCGCGATCGATACCGCTCCCCGAAGCGCCACATCGAGGGCCGGTAATTCGGAGGCGGCTAGCGGTGAGGCGGAGTAGGTCGAGGCGCCAGCCTCGTTCACGATAGCGTAGCGCACCTCCAGTGGTGCAAACAGACCGTCGGATACTGCCTGTGTTAACCAACGCTCCGTTTGTCGACAGGCCTGCCCATTACCCAAAGCAATTGTGTAAATTCTAGATAGAGGGCCAAATAAAAAGGTGGCTGCTGAAGGTACGAAAAGAAAAATTTGAGACTACGAAGGGTAATGGACAGGGTAGATGAATTAGGCGATTAATGATAGGGTGCATAAGTGCACGGTCATATGGGGTACATGAAACAGTTTAAGTGGTGTGGGAAATTTCTTGGGACCTTCCATAGGAAGGATGATATTACAAATCCTCATCAAGTATCCGGCAAATAATTCAGAATGTAGTAATAAAGGCTAAGCAAAGTCTAAAAAATTAGTATGAATATGGAATGTGGTAACATCTCACCCGTGATCGCGCATTGTTCGAACAAGACTCTGAACTTCATCGTTGTTGTAGTTATTACTACCACCGTTGTAGGAATTGTAATTTCGGTGGTCCTGTCCCAAAGTGACATGAATGACACCAGTCGCAAGGACAGCACCAAGGGGGTCGCAAGCAGCCCACTTGGTGCCATGGCGCCAGCCGGGATCTAGACCAAGGACGGGCAGTCTGTCACCGGGTGCGCCGAGGCTGGCAGAAATGACATCTGGTGAGAGCTGTAGTCGATGCTGTTGCAATTGTTGTTGTTCTCGGGAGCTCGCAGACGAGGTGGAGGAGGCTACAGCGTTGAGATCGCCTGCAGAGAGCGGTGGGACGTTGCGCAAGGGCGCAGTCATGAGAATACGACGCAGATTGTCCGCAAAGACATTCAGAGAGATCTCCTGTGCGACGGAAGTGATATGCGACCTGTAAATATAATGAGACGAACAGTTAACCGGTGGTGCGACTTGGACAGACGACCAAACGATTAAATGGGAGGCATACCTAGTTATTGGTGATTTACGAGGTTCAGTGGAGAGTAGATGAAAAAGCGAAACCTTCATCATACGACTAAATATGTTGAAAAAGTGGAACTAACAAAATCAAATTCTTGAGAGCCACTTCAAAAGACCTCCGAGCAGTGGAGATAAAGGATGCCTCATGAAAAATTAACCCCGAATATTAATGATTACTCATCACAAGTAATACCAAGATTTTAAAATTATTAAAAAAAAACTTTTGAACAGTATATTCTGAGTTGAACACGCGGGGAGAGATTCAGTGGACAGTTGTGATCGAAAATGTAGGAACTAGTCAAGTTCCTATGAAGTAGCAGGATAACGGTTTAAAATATCGTAATATAACTCAGGCAACGAAGGAAGTCTTCATAATACATAGTGACCCTGCAATGATTAGCCAAACACTGCAAACGCACTCAGATCGGAACCAATAAGTTCAGAGATGAAGCACTGTATCAAGCGTGAAGCTGAGCCTAGAAATGGTATATGGATAGAAGGGGAAGATATTTGGAGTTGTCACCACGCACTCACCGGAGTTTACGCGTGAGGCAAGGTTTCATGAGTCGCTTCCAACCATCCTCGAAGGCAGCCCAAAAGAGCTTGTGATGCGCGGGGTGTATGTTGGGCAGGAAGCGCTGTCCAACGACGTCGCGTATGCGCCCAATTAAGGCAGCAGGAAACTCCATCTTCACACGAATGATCTTGCGATCCTCCGCGCGGTTGAGAGCCAGCACCTGACAGGGTATCGCATGTGTAGTCAAAGTAATCATTTTGGAAACCTTAGACTGTTTACTAACACCGAAAGAACCAAGAAGTAAACAAAAAACTTCCCCAGCCATTTTACGCGCCAATTTCATAATGACTGCAAAAGACCAAATTTTTATTTATTAGAGGTACTCAGTGATAAGACAGTGTCTCTAGGATTCAGGCACACCATACAGATGATCAAATTGTGGAGAGAAACGCTCAACTGCCTGATTTAAGTAGTCCCGATCAAATAAATTTGTACCGAGTCTTAATAAATTTGAAGTAGAAAAAAACCTTGTTATGCCATGTTGACCAATGACTGAATCAGACCAGAGCATAGAAGTCTCCATCTTTCAGTTTAAAATTTCCTAGAGACATTCCCTTAACAGTGAATTCAGACGGTCTACTCGGAAATAACTTTCAAATGAGATGCATTGCGCGGCACCACAACCCCCCCTAACCACAATTTTAGGATTTAGCAACTACAAAACGACTAACTTAGGTCACAAGTTTAACAAAAGTTATCCCGATACTTTTCGACTACATCCGGTATTTCTTCAGTAGGTTAGAAACTCAAGTTCAAGTTCATAATTAGGCCACTGTTGATCTCATTTAAATACGCTACCGTAAGACCTTACTTAGATCGGACTCCACACCTGTTCATTTTCGGGAAAATTATGTGAAATAGACCGTATAAATTCAGACGGCTTGATTATAAGTCAGAGAGGTCCACATTCTGATCGAGTGTAGTAGCAGTGAAACTAAAAAATTTGGAAAATTAACATAGCAACGTGAGTAATCACACACATCGATGTGAAGGGTGAGATAACACACCTTGTGAGGCGGTATACGGTTGAAAGCCATGCAGAAGTCGAAGAAAGCCTTGAAAGTGACTAAGTCCTTCTCGAGGTTGAAGTTTGAGGAAGTCGTTGAACGGTTCTGTGTCGCTCGAGTGGTGGTGATGGTGGGGGCGACCTGAAAACACCTGAAAAAAAGAATGATAACTCAAAAATCACTTCTTTCCCGTAAGAAAACAAAAAAACATTCACACATTTTATGCAATTTTATGTCAGCTTGTTCAAAACTAAGATATTCATTAACGGAATGGCAGAAAAGGAGTGTTTGCGTCTAAAATGGTGTCGAAGTACACCTACTAAAGTGTTGCAAACGAATTCTGCGTAGAGAATGCTACTACCAAACAGTAGGCAAAGATGTGAAACTGAAACTATTACGTTCTTTAAAAATTTAGATGAGTCAAGCATAGTGTGCCTGAGAAAATCGGATCAGTAACAACTAAAGAGGCAAGCCTTCCCCGTGATTCACCCATTAAAATCGAAAAATGCCCCAACGTAAAGACAAACAATCCCCCAGTACTTACTGAAAGGAAAGTGTATGGTTGTGAATAAGAAGCTTTTAGTTACGGCATGAATAACGAATGGGCAATTAAAATATCAACAATTGTGAAGGAATGTACGACGACACTCGTTTAAAAACTAAACTCGCTTCTTGAACTTAACGTGAAACCACCCGGAATTACCGCCTCAACCATTTTCTTATTTTGCGTAATAAGAACTAAGAAATTCAAGAAAAAATAGAATAGGTGAATGGAAAAATCTACAGCTGTTCCGCAGCCCTCAAGACGTCAAAATCCTTGCAAATTGACTCCGCCATGAGGTTCAACACCCCCGCCTCCACCTCAGCTGCAGTCGCCCCGACAAGAGCGGCGCCGAAGTCCACGTTCTTGCCAAGTCGGAAGACGGCGCAGGCTATGGGCTCGAGTCCTGCCGCACGCGCTCTCGCAGCGAGGGACTTGGGAGCTGATTCCTTGAAGGGCTCAGTCTACAAGGAAGTGTGGAGAGGAAGGAATGGATATTCGTCTGACGAGGAGATGTGGGTAATGGAAGAGACCTACTATCAGCACGACGTCCTCTGTGGTCTTGCATTGGCGCAGACTGGCCTTCAAGTCCTCCGTCATGAGGCCCTTGGCGGAGAGGTCGGTATATGCGTGTCCCACCTTCTCAATTACTTTCCTGTTTAACCGCAACCCCACAAAGAAAAATGGATATAGCTATACGGAAAAATTGTCACAAAGCCATTCTTAAACTACCAATGAAACGCTTCTCGGGCCTAGTTATTAGATTCTGAACAAGATACGCGTACTTTTCAGAAGTTATTCAATGAAATGAAAACCTTGCTTGATTTTAGTTTATTCTGGCAAAAAACAGTATATTGCATAACTATGGTACAACCTATAAACGAATAAATACAAATTTCCTTTCGGACGAGAACAGTAGGGTTTTTTCCGCTCACAGAGACATAACGGACTAATTTTCACGGAATTTTTATGTCGCCTAATAAGCAATGAACCAGCTGAGAAACCCCAAACATAGATAATACTTTTTAGTTAAATCCACTATCTTCAAGCGCTCATTCAGTCACAGAGGTAACCATAATAGACGACGTCACAAGCGCATCAATAATTGCTTGGAGACTTACAAAACTCGACAAGAATAACATATTAAAACATGTACGGCGCAAAAGTAACAATCATTATTGAGTTAAAAAGTTACTCATACCCATGCTCTTATCCTAAATATTCAAAAACTTCAAGAAATCAAATCCTTTGACCAATAGTGATAAATGCTCTTTGTATGAAGCCTACTTCCGTTCTAGCATTAAAAATCAGCTATTCCCACGAGATCACCCTTCCAGCTCAGTAAATGGGTTCTTTGAGGAACGTACTTGCACTGAGACAGTTTACTCCTAATAGCACGCAGGGCGTCCGGATCCAGGTTGCCTGTGGCCTCTTTCCGATAGCGTGCAATGAAGGGCAGGGTGTTGCCGGAGTTGAAGAGACCAATGACGCGGGAGGTTGTGCGTCTGTCAGTGCCACACGTGGTTGCCACCTCATTCACTATATCCCAATCCACATCCATCGTCCCCATTGTAAAATAACCCACCAGATCAATATAGGGAAGAGTGTAACAGGCTAGCGGGAAAATCAAATTATTGATTTTTTATTTGCTTAATGAGGCCCACCTCACAACCGAATGGAGTTAGAATAAGACGTACTTAAGTAAAATGCGCAGTTAAAGTAAGTAGTAAGGTTCTGTGCAAGGCGCAATTGACAATAAAATACTGGACTGGTCACAGGACCTCTTTAAGCGTTATCTTGTTTGTCCAAGATAGCAAGAACAACAGGTGCAAATGACCTTATGGTACTTTATTATAATTTTAAGACATGAAATTAAACACCCACGAATGCAAACGATTGTTTCGCACAATGATTAACCAAGATAAAATAAGGGACCACTTTTACGTCCAGGACAAACACGGTCAGGGAACCAATCGCATTATTGAGTTACCATAAGATGAAGTAGAATTACTAAAATGAGACCAAATCAGTGCAACATAAAATTAGGGTATGCCTCAGTTTGAACGCAAAATTTCTGCACTAAACACCTCGCAGTCATATTGTGAATAAACTCATACTTACGGGTTCAAATTAGACAAAAAGCCCAACTCGGATAACCTCGCCTCGGACGTGAGCAGATGGGTCAAACTAAGTGGCTCATTATAAACTTCAATTCAGCCGGTTGAACATTCTCCACAAGCATCATACAAAAGTTCTTGGGTAAATAATACCCTTTTACAATCACGTAAGAGGCTGACAAACAAATGACTTGAAGATTGCACATTCTACAGGTAATTCGGTATTTGCAATATTTTATCTTTGATCACCCCAGGTTTTGCTCAGGCGCGTAATAGTTTAGCCAGTCAAATCCCAACACCTTAGGACAACTTAGCCTTTAATGCTTAACGGGGTTGGCGCTTGCGCACAGGTAAATTATTGGAAGTTTCTAGTCTCTCCATGTATTGCGAAAATAACAAGTCGGTAGGGTCTCGGCATTCTGTTTAAGGTAGTTCCTTTGCAGATTTCCGCATAAGTTGATAGGACTTTCAATTGACTTATAGTACTTGCGTTTCCGTTTTCCTTAAGATAAGTTTGAGTCTAGTTTATTGGAGCACAGTTGTGATTTAATTGTCTTTGCTTCACATGGTATATTGGCTTCGATGTCTACTTCGAGTGCACCAATTTTACTCCCACACTTATGTTCTTGAGATCCATCTTATCCTCCATTTCTGTATGAATGTATAATCGCTGTGCTGTTTATTGTTTGTACCGTCCCATTAATTTAGCAGTTTACAATAAGAATTTGATCTATGAGCGTAGCAAACACAAATAACAGTGCTTATTGATGCTCTCAGATTTGTCAGTAGAAGTATATTCACAATTTCCACCGGTATTGCTAATTGCTTGTGTTCTCTAGTTTTTCGATGTCACTGAACACGTCACATTCAAAGGCGAATAAATCGCCCTCGAATACTGTTAAAAAATTGGAGCAGGATGCAAGTGGTTTTTGTGAAAGTAGCGATGTTGGAACCTCTCTGAGAAGGCTCCAACGGGCCTCTAAACTATCCCCCGCTGACCGGTTACAGCGAAAACCCAATCGTGTACAGAGCCTTCTATCTTCCTCCAGTCCTGCCTCTAACATCTCCGACATTGATCTTCTCATTACTAAAACTGCCAATCTTTCAATTTACGAAGACAAACACGAGACTGTTGACCAACAGGTAGTCTCAAAACTAACACATTACTTTTGAGCTATCAATAGCGTGTTGGCCGGACCGTGACAGTTGTTGCAAGCCGTAATTTATTTTTCTTATCACCTGCATCCAGCGAATCGTCAAACACAGATGATTAGTCTTTTTCATGTGGGGTATTCTTGTGGACCTGTAAATAAGTCTTGTGGGGACCATTTGAGTTCATTTAAGTAACATTCGACTTCTGTCCTCTATTTTAAATTGAAGAGATCTCGAGACTAGGGCATGGAATCCTCTTTCAGCAAAACAAACATTCTGGATTTTTATTTATGCCGCACTTAGCAGAATTTTAGCACAACTTTCTATTTTCAAAGCACGCTTCCCCAAATACATCTGGAAAGTCTACGAAATCGGCAACGTCTTTATCACCATCTCAACGACAAAGTGTGCGTCTTTATTAAACCCCTTCGACTAACTCATTAGTTCAACCATCGTCCCAATTACTGCATCTTTTCTTTTCTAGGCTGCCAGCACTTCAATGTCGACTGGTGTGCGAGCGACTGCATCGAGTGATGTAAAAGAGGCGACCGCAAATGTAGGTTATCCTGTGTTCTGTGCTTATTTATATCTCTTATGTAAAAATCCTTTACTCTTCACTTTCATTTCCATATTTTTTCTAATCATTCGTGTTATCTTCTTCCCTGAAATTTACAACTTCATGAATTCCGCTGTGTTTGGCGCTTTTGTACAATTTATCTTTATAGGGATTTCTTAATTTAATTTGTTGCCAGATCAGATAAATCTAGCGTTTTGTAGCGTTTTTTTCGGAATAGAATTCACAACTTCTGTTTTTATGTTTACCGAATTTAGGTTTTAGTAGGTTTTTACACTATTTCCTCATTTGGTCTCTGCGTTTATTTATCAAAACATTCCCTCTATCTACAATGAATTTTAATCCTGACAAATTATTGAGCGACAATATTCTGCGCTTTGATGGTCCTAACACGTAGGGCTCATTGTCAACTCTAAGTTACATTCTGATATCTAAGTCAGATGGAGAACTTGACCATTTTTATTTCAGCCAAGTTTTCCATTTTCTGTCCAGCCGTGACTCTAGATTAGTCTATTCATGCCCTTGGTTTTTAATTTCTGCAGGACACCATCTCGAGCTCGGCCCCCAGAAAATCAGCGAAATCAAATTCACCGTTGTCGTCATCTAAACTAAGGAGTGTATGTGCTTATGCCACTTAAATTCATTCGTCTTAGCTCTTGAGCAAATTCATACAACGACATCATCTACCATGCGTAATGTCGCACTTCCAGTAGACCAATACTGTAGGTTATTTTGAATTTGTTTGAGGTGAATTTTATGCAATTTTTATGTCTAAGCTCATGTTTGACGTTTAGTGGAATTTTTAGCACACTGCAATCCTCAGTTAAGTAGGACCCTGAATGCTGATTCTACCTCGAGTCCCTAAGATTCTTACATTCCTTTTTTGGATTGCAGAATGGCGCCTCAGCGTCAAAGTCAAGCTTTTCGTTGTCGGCATTTCACCGTTCGGATGTGCGTACCACTAGCACTTACTGAGTTCATTCACTTAAACTCTGATGTCCAATTCTATAGCGCTATCTGAATGCCTTTTTTTCTCCTTTACAGAATGTAAGCGCGAAGAAGTCACCTGAGATACAAAAAGGCAAACTGGTGGACAAAGAAATAGCCGACCAAGTGAATGACATCATATTTATGTTTGGTGCTTTTTTGAGTCTACATTGAGTCTCTTTTTCATAATGACTGCTCCATTGTTACATCAAACTATATTGTGTTCTAATAATTTTCTAAAATCCGTTTGATAAACAGCTTGCATTCAGGCTGAAACCGTGTCTGATAATTGTTGCTCATAACGCTTTTGAGATGATATATTAAAAGAATTTCATGGTCTTCTATCGGTACAATGTCCCATTTATGGGTTCATTTTTCCTGCCAGTTTGAGCAAACTAATGGAATCATTTTGCGTTTTCATCTCAATTCCAAATAATATTGCTTCTCATTTCGGTAATGCTTCGTAAGTAATCTTACAATGTATTTTTTTCGGGCGATGATGCACAATTTTACCGCGTTTGACTGTTTCTTGGTCAAGCTTGCTAAGTTGGGTCATATTTGACAGTTGACTGATTCATTAACAGGAATGTGTTCAGATATTTACTATTTTCTCTCCATTCTAATTTTCTTTGTTAATGTACTGTATTGCTTCAACAATGTGGCAAGGTACAACGAAAATCTGCTTGATCTTTCAAAAACTAACACAATATCAGTGTAATAGCCCCATAAATTTTGCTTCTAGTTTAGTCCCTTTAATGTCTTACTTTTCACTTTCGCTTCACAGGCCACCACTCCAACATCACCTCCCAGAAAGTCGACGGAGTCAAAGGAGACGCTGCCGTCCTCTCAGCAAATAAGTGTGCGTTGCTCTCCTACTCCACATATTAATTCGCTCAAACTCTACGTTAGAACTCGAGAACTATTTTTTTTAATGAATAACGAAGCTGAGAGGACTGTATAAGAAGAAACAAGTGGTTGATAAAGGTTTAAGCATTATTTTTTATATTGCATTCATTGCTGATTCCCCCTCGTCCTTGCCTTGGAACTATTTTGTATATTGGGTATTTAAGTGACTATTAAGTATGTACTTAAATGCTGGACCCCTTCAGATTGTAGGACGGTGCTTGAAATGGGATGAGCTTTGAAAGTGAATAATTTTTTTTCCTTTTATGTATGTATCAATTATTGCATGATAGCTTTCAAGTTCTGCTGCATTACACTTTCGGCAGTGGACGGTGCAACCCCTTCCGCAGATATAATTATGGCAGCGGTATATCAAATGGTTTTTGGAGTATAGTAATGGAAAGAATCAGCGTACGAGCGGAGAAAATGCATAACCCTAACTGAATTAGAGTTAATTTTTTTCGTATCCCATGTCATAGCGTAGATCTTTCCGTGCCACTTACCTTGAGCTCCTCATAGGTACATAACTCACCACAAATCCCTTCAGATTGTCAATACGGCGAACGAGCTTCTGAATCGAGCTCGTCTCCTCTATGAGGAGGAGAAGATTGCAGAATCTTTGGTGCTCCTGGAGGAGGCCTACAGCCTTGATCCCAACCCCAAGACTGCGCGCAAAATCACACGCCTCAAGGAGGCTCTTGCTATGAAGAACGAGGTCGAGGCGGAGGCTGCGCGGAAGGCCTCCGCCAACTTGGAGAAGAAGGCCCGAGCGCTCTTTCAATGCAAGGACTACCGCGGCACTCTCGATCTCCTTCTTCAGGCGAACGACCTTTGTCCGAGTGATAAACTCAAGCGGAGGATAGAACGTCTGCAGGATCTTATAGCCGAAGAAGAAGAGGAGAAGGTATGCTCGAAATTCATCATTTCATGTTCTCTCTAGTAGGTACATTCCATATTCTCTCTGCGAACATTTTTTAAAATGCATAACTTTGCATGGTGTTGTTGTCTTTTCAACTTTGTGCATTCCTGGATTGGTGTATTTTGGATTCAATTTGGAGTCTTTGAGCTATGCAGCATCCATCATGCATTGATCGGCTACTTTCGAGTTGTTTTTTTACTGATTATCGTCTCTTAACTCGCTTTTAGAATGACACTTGTGATGAGGAAGACGGTGATGATAAGGGTGCCGATGATATTGCCCCTTTAAACCGTGGCGTAGCCAATCTTTCCCTTAAAGTTACAAAAGCGCCTGGTGAAAGAAACGTGGTTGAGCTAGCTGAGGGCTTTTCTTGCCTCGTGGTCTATACGAACAGCTCTACCCCTACCAACGTGACGGTGTCTCTTGGCTGTGGGATCTTCACAAAACCGCACCCGGCGGTATTCTCGCCGACGATATGGGCCTTGGCAAAACACTTCAGGTTGGTCTTATATTTACTGGATCTTAAAGCTTTCGGTCCTATATGTTATGGTATAGCTTTTCGCCATCTGTTTATATGGTGTATGAAGCATTGTTATGTCATCTATTATTACAAACATCAGT